AAAATCAGAGAGTCTAAGTCAACTGTACTGAAGAAAATGTGACCAGCAGCCCACATTATGCAACGCTACACATATGCACATATTGTCCGAGCAGCCACGCTATGTTTCCAGAAATATTCCCCAGCTATCAACACCTGACAGGACACATCATGTCCTACATTCTCAAACACAGATGCACATGTGTCCGTGTAATGTCCACAGTCTGTAGGCCTGACTGTATAAGGATCCTTTCTTCAGCACAAGAAATAGTAACATCAATCATAATGTGGAGCATATGTTACAGGAACACTGTGTCGCACTGCCTGCTCTGTGCTTGACATCAGATATACCGTGTCCAACAACCTAAATGCTAAATGCCTCAGGAAGATTCCCCTGGGGGGAGGAGATGCAGTATTTCTGTCTGACTCTGAAGAGAAGAGCCTAAAAGGGAAGAGTGTGTGTGTGTGTGTGTGTGTGTGTGTGTGTAAGCATTTTAACATATATTATGAAGTAGTCCTCCTTGGTCTGTGCACATACCAGCTTATGTAGCTGCACAGACATGTAGCTGCACAGACATGTAGCTGCATGTATTTCTTTGGTGCAAGAAATTTCAGCTATGGATTCGAGCTCCTCTTGGAGCCAGATATTGCACAGGAGCCTGATGGTGTGCATTTGGTGGACAAACCTTGGCCTGGTGGCACCTGGTCAGTAGGGGTGGGGGAAAAAATGGATACTGTGTAGCATGGTGATATTTTGTTTGCTAATAATGTATGGATACAGGGACAGCAGAAATCGATATTTTGTTACAAAAAAGGTTTTTGTGCTCTGACTTCAGAGCATGTTGATCCTTTTTCTGAGCAAGAATCCTGACATTCCTTCACTGTCCAAATGTGTTTAACTTGTTTATGGCAGCAATAAACATGACAGTTTACTTATTTTAATTTAAGACATGTTTTATTTTAATTAAGTTTAAAACTTTTTTATTTAATGTAAAATTATATTTTGTTTTAATTTACTTTCAAATTCTTCAGTTGCTGAAGGGGCTGCATAGTTTTCATAAACTGCATAGTTCAGAATAGCTATAATTGTACCAGATGGTTGATTCAGTTAAGCTGGACTAGACTGTAATACAAACCGTTCAGTTTGTCAACAATAAAACTGAAATGAGAGAAAGACTGAGTGTGAGACTTTGATATTAGATAAAATGAATATTGATAAAGTTTACCTTTATGTACAGAATCTGAATATCGCAAAATATTTTTAAAAATTGCAATAATATCGTATCGTGCGTTAAGTATTGTGATAATATTGTATCGTGAGTTGTATGGTGATTCCCACCTCTACTGGTCAGGCACACGCCAAGCTCCCACATTTTGTAACCACTACCCTTTAGGCTATAACCGTTGGAATGAAGTGCTATAAGATACACGGCGGGTAAGGAAGGATGAAGATCACCTGCCCATACACTCAGAAATGCAAAGCCAGATATAAACAAAATCCAGACTGGCTCCTTTCTTCTCTGTCAATGAATTATTTAACATTGGCTAAGGCAGAAAACTGCCATGTGGTCTGATGTGTCAAAATTTCAAATCTTTTATAAAACTGATGGGCACTGCAACTTTGTAGCTAGAAAATTCCATCAAGAGGAAAAAAAGAAAGGCGCTAGTGTAGTAGCCTAACAGCACCACCCTGTGGTTGGAAAATGCACTTACACCAGCAGTTACACAGACTCATCTATGAAAGCAAAAGATTTATTTTACTCTTGTGAAAATCAAGTTTTGTGCTCCTCTATCTTTGACTAATGAATAATGTGCACAAATGTAGAATTTTAATGTGTAATGAGATAAAAACAGCATCTGTGACACAAAAGATAACCTGGCATGAGTGGACTTACAGACTCACAAAGCACTGTAGGATAATCTGAGCCACATCAACCTGACTCTATCCACAGATTAAGATTAAAAGGGATTAAGATTTGGGTACGTCATACAGTTATCACAATGTGGAAATTTAATCACATACAGTGATGCAGCACCCAGTGGTTTTGCGTTGGTTTTGTGTGTGTGTGTGTGTGTGCATTGATCTGTCCCTGGGGTCACTGAGGTCTGCTATACACGAAGCACTAATGCTAAATGTTTCTAACCTAGATTCAAGCATGGCTGGCCACACTGTAGTCTTAACATCAGTTGTGAACTAGATTAGCAATGAAAGAAAAGAAACCAGAGTGCTGCTATATATACACTGCTTATGTGCAAACCATGTGCCTGTAAGCCAAGTTATTCCTGACCCTGGAAACAACTGCTATTAAAGATTTTATTGTCCACTTACTTGATTGATTTCTTGCTTTTGACCCCTTTGCTTTATCCTCCAATTACAGAGTAACGTTTCCTCCTAGAAATCAAATGCTCACTGCTACAAGCTTATATGGCTGATAGCCCGTAATAGCTACTGCTGTGAGTGGGTTTATAGATCTTATTCTTCATTAAAAACTGATTCCAGTGTTTTGGGGCTGCCAGTCCTGTCACAGAGAGACGTTTGAGTGCTAGCTGGATCTTAAGGAAGCACTCAAAGTATTCTAGGTGGAATAAAGTCATGCAAGCAAATTCTTAAGATGGAAAACAGAGCAACAACAATCAGCATGAACACCACAAACTGTATGTGAGAGACCAGCACAGAGTCACACATTGGTTTTTGAAAGCCAGCAGTTAGTGTTTAGGCCATGTTGGGGGGGTTTAAGTCAGAAGTGAACATATTTGTACAAGAGGGTCGAGCAACAGTAAAGTTTGCAAAGCACACTAGTCACAAATACCTGCTCACTGGTGCTAAATAGCTGAGCATATATACATCAGAATTGAACTCACCAAGAGCACAGACCTCTAGGATAGGCTGTTTGTATTAGCAACAAAGCATTATTTGTTAGATACTTCCGACAAAAACACACCTAAAAAGGACAAAACCTGTGACTCCACTTAGTGGAGGAGAGGTTCTGCACACAGCAAGGCCACAAGTCACCACTTTTAGGATCCATCTGTCAGTTTAAGAAGCCACACCCCTAACTTTAAGCCTTAATAGAGTATAAAGGCTGCATTATAAAATAATCCCAGGCTGCCAGACACACAGTAGTTACAAAAGGGCAAAAAGCGGTGGTGGTGGGGGGGTGGTGTCTTTTTGCCAAACTCTAAAAAGGCAGCTGACACGAAGTCAGCTGCTGGACATTTAACTTGGGAGTGTTTGGAAGTTGATTAAATCCTGTTGGATTCATTTTTTCAAACTGGGAGGTCGTCTCTTAGCAACCACGAGTAGGAGGAGGAGTGGCCCTAGTATAGAGCCTTGCTGCCTGCAATTATTTTCAACTAAGTGCCCAAAATATTTGTAAGTTTGAATTTCTGTGACAGTCAAGCAAATTACAAATTTATTAGTAAATGCCTCCCACCCGACACCCACAGAATCAGATATTTTTTTAGTATAGTAACCGTTGAAAGCATACAAAAATTTACCGTTACATTTTTGTTTCTTAGATGCAGTAACAGTCCTCAGGTCTGAGTTGGCTGTTTTTCATTTATTTACATATTTATTTTTAATTACATTTTCCATCCATCCATCCATTCGCTTCCACTTATCCTTTTCAGGGTCGTGGGGGGCGCTGGAGCCTATCCCAGCTGTCATAGGGCGAGAGGCAGGGTACACCCTGGACAGGTCGCCAGTCTGTCGCAGGGCCAACACTTCGCACTCACATTCACTCGCACATTCACACCTAGTGGCAATTTGGATTATCCAATTAACCTATCCCCACAAGCTGCATGTCTTTGGACGGTGGGAGGAAGCCGGAGTACCCGGAGGGAACCCACGCAAACACGGGGAGAACATGCAAACTCCACACAGAAAGACCTGATGGTGGAATTGAACTCAGGACCTTCTTGCTGTGCAGCAACAGTGCTAACCACCGTGCTGAAAATTACATTTTCATTTATTTATTTATCTGCAATGTTAAACGTTCAGAACGTCTTAAATATAGGGGGATTAGCATTAGCATTAGAAGAAAAAAACTGAAACAGTGCTTTCTGGGTAAATGTTAAAGGATAACAGCATGTGGGACAGGTATAAGCGGCTGGTCAAACCAAGTTATAGTATATGAAAGTTCTTCTTTTAATCTACACTTTGACACCAGACTTGTCTTCTGGCTGTGACTCCTGCCATGTGTTGAATACAGTACACTCATTTTTTCATTTTTAACACTCAATTTGGAGCCTTCAGTGGTTTCAGTGTTATCCTTTCAAATTCTACCCTGGTAGTATTATGTTCTTGATGCCCACCTCGTTCACTCCAGTGTTTCCTGTAACCCAGACAGGTATTAAAAGAAAAATAAAAGCTGATTCTGAGGGGTTAACAACTGGCAGACTGGATTCATTTTATATGGAATGATCCTGTTACAGTTGCAGTCATGTACAGTAATAAAATCTAAAACCAGAACCTGAACAGCAGCTGCATCTAACCTGCAGAAAAACAAAGAAACAATACAATCGAACTTTTACACTTTCTTCATCTGTGTGTTGTTCAAAAGTTTTGCCAGACAGATTTTTCTGCGTGCTGCGCATGTGCAAAGTAACACATCAATTGCGTGACTGACTGCATTAAGGCTACATCACATTATAACTGGCGCTAATATAACTTTAAATAGAAGCCAACATTGTAACAATAGAAATGTCATAATGTTGGCTTCCATTTAAAAAATGACAAACGAGATTTCTGTTGGCATTTTGCCATTATTTGTACTGAACCAATTATTTATTTGTGTGCATCTGTGATGCTGATGTTCACGTGGTCATGTGCCTTTTTAAAAAATACGCTTATGTTGTTGTTGCAGTCAGTCACAAACAGCATTGTGGAACTTTGCAGTAGTTAAAAAGATGGGTGGGGAGGGGGAGGTGGGGAGTTGGACGAGGTAGAGGCGTAGCACCAGGGAGGGGTGGGGCGGGAACTATGGAACCCGGATGCTGATGCTGACCCATGAAAAGGAGGAGGAGGAGTGTAATAGGTGGAGGAAACAAGAGGGGTAAAAAACGGGTAGCGGCAGAGTAGAGGAGGACATCCCGTCAATGATAAACACTCCCATGGATGCGGCCAACTTCGGACTACCTGAAAGACTCGAAACTAAAATGTTTTCACTTATTTAGCGTTTGTTTTTCTGCTCCTTGTGCACGAAGCAGCCGGCTAAGGGAGGAGATGCGGTGATATCATGAGCAAAACCGGCCAGCGAGAAAGAAAGGAAAGACAGAGAAGAAGAAGAGAGAGGGAGGGGGAGCAGGGGAAGAGGAGAGGCGGGGAGTCGGCTACCACCAGGCCAGCTGAGGATGCTTGTTGTTTCTAGAAGCGGGATTAATCACCGGGTTGAGCGCTGATCCTTCCCCCGGCGCACCGAGCGCACCTCTCCACGCTGCAGCTGTCCCGAGCCAGCACGCCTTTCGGCCGTCTGGCCCGGTCTGCCCCCGAGGCTGTTTGCCTTTTTGATGCTCTTCCCCCTCTTCCTCTATTTCCTGATGCAGGGCCGGGGAGGGGGCGAGCCAAAGTGTGCACCGGATATTGGAAAACCCATTCTTCTTGCTGATGCTGTTTGTGATAATAGATTGTTATCTGGGCAACGCCGCATCTACACAGAAAGGCAGATTGTGACCAAATGAGGCCCGACTTGACAGGAAGAGGGGAATGTACGGGCTCGGGAGGATTATGAAAACATTTTTTTTGGACGGCAACAGAAGAACGGGGGTCCCTGATATCGATCAGGGCATTCTGGCTTCGGATATTTGAGACTGCTCTTACAGAAATCAATCTGTGGCAAATGTAGCCTTCCTGTCCAGGTCTGAATGAGATTTTTCGTTACTGCTGTACTCTTGGCCAGCTGCATAAGCTATATAGGATCAATCAGCTTTAAACTACAGTTATTTATAGCAGGGGGGTGGGTTTAATGTGACTGTTCGCACCTCTGTGGGCATCTCCCATCTCTGGTACCGGCCAAACCTCACACGTCCTCATCTCTGATCTTTTCCTACCTTTCCCTTGAATGATGCCGCTTCCTGTGCTTTGGTAACTGACTTGAAAGACTCTGGATTTACAGAGTGGAAACAGGACCGGTTCTCACTCCTGACCGCATGACAAACAATTGCATGGGAGTAGCCTGCGAGGCCCGGCTTTAGATCACGACCAGTCCGCACCTCCTCTCTTCTCCTTTCCTCCTCTCTGCACCGCCGTATAGCCGCCTGTAATGTGCGTTACGGCATTACGCACGGAGCAGGAGCGAGCGCTATCTTGATTTGCCTTATATCTGGAATAGAATTTCATCTCGGGAAGGATGAGCAGCAAAGAGCTGACGGTGGGCCAGTCCAGTCAGTTTGTGGGGCCTTACCGGCTGGAGAAGACCCTCGGGAAGGGACAGACAGGTAGGCACCCTGCAGAGTAACGCAAAAAACAGGGCGTCTGCAAGGTGCGCCGGGGTGTAACACCCCACTGCAAAGCCAGTTTAACATTTCTGTAATATCGAAGCTCATGGTTTAATCCGTCTTTATTCTGTACACTAAGTCTTCTCATCTCCTGTAGTTTTATCCCTCCACGGCCTTCTTAAAGCGTCTCCCAAAAGCTAAACATTTTTGAGGAGGTTTCAGAGAATGGAGATAACTCTAAATCATTTTTTGAAGCTGAGTTGGAAGAATAAAGCTTTTTGAATTAATCATGACATCCCTTCCTTCCTGTTATTCACACCGCATCATGATCTGCGATATTCAGATGCTCTCTTCTCCTCCCTCTGTCTTGCTTCTCAGGACTTGTGAAGTTGGGTGTCCACTGTATAACAGGGCAGAAGGTGGCCATAAAGATCGTCAACAGAGAGAAGCTCTCTGAATCGGTTCTAATGAAGGTACAGCACTCCAAATTCACCTCATCTACTTATCCAGCTGTCTTTCTAGCTGTGCCGTGCATATAGTCACTGTGGCTGTCATTATGGTGGCTGCCAAGCTCAAATCATGTTAAGCTTGCACTCTGCAGAAATAGCAGCAGAAAATGAGTCTTTATTTTTGTCAGGAAAAGCCCGGCAGTGTGTTGGAACTTGGAGCTGCTGAGTGTGTGTGGGCACTGCTTCTGTATACTGAACAATAGGGATGATTTCATTCTGCTAATTAAGCCCTCTGATGAAAGCAACTGCAGCTGAAATACACTGGACTGAACTGAAATCTAAATAGCTTGTTCATGTTGGCGTTTTTAATGTGGTTGATTGCTTGGAGCTTTACAGGGTATGTCTTTTTTAGAACTGGCAGGTTGCACAAGACACACTTTAGGCGCTAGATGTGCAGCACGGTGCTAGCATATGTTTTAAGATGTGCAAAAATGTCAGCATCCTAAAAACACCGGATAGCTCAAGATTTCACGGTGAGGCAGGTATACATCACACATCTGGTATGTTTGGCTTAAACATCACGAACCTGCTCCATGTGTGTGTTTATTTTATCAGAACAATACAAAATAATGTTTTCTTTCTGTAGTCTGATAACTGTGTTGGGAAAAAAGCAGCATTCACCAATAGCACGTGACAAATGCCCTGAATCACTCAAGCTTAAAAAGGCACAAAATTCAAGGGATGTACCAGTGCTGTGTCCACACATAACGGACAACTTAGCAAAGAGTTAGTGCTGCAAAAACACATCATTTGTACCAATTTCTTTAGCTGAATATGCAAAATAAAATGTCAAAGAACAGTTTGACAGACAAAAAAATTATATTTTTTGCACCAACAAAGTGATTCCAAAACATGGCAAATCTTGTCATGTGTGGTGTGTCTTTAGAATAGAATAGAATAGAATAGAATTCAACTTTATTGTCATTGCACATGCACAGGTACAGGGCAACGAAATGCAGTTTGCATCCATCCAGAAGTGCTTTAGCCGTGATATAGATATATTACAATATATATTAGCAATAATATAGATATGTGAGCATATTACAGAAATGGGTCTATTATGGTATGTTATAATGTACACGGTATGAAGTATGTTATGAATATG